ACAACTTTTTCAATTATCCAGAAAACTAAGGCTCAGAGAAATTGAATAACCTTCCTAAAACTTTAAAGCTAAAAAGTGGTGGAGCTAGATTCCTAAGGCCAAACTCTTTCCATGATGCTGCCCAAACCACTTGCCTCTTCCAAATGCCTAGCCCCCATCTACTGTGTCCTGGTTCCTCAGTGATCCTCATTAAAATGCCTCATTCATTCATTCAACAATGAATGCTCTGGGTCTGCCTGCCTTAAAAAGTCCTATTCTCTTTTAATCCTCCATTCTGCTAGTAAGAGATAAATAATCTGATAAATTATTAGGCAGTCTATTACACTCCTTCCACAACATAGGACCATCCTCTAGGGTGAAAAATTATTTAATCTGGAGAAACGACTCTGGTGCATCAAAAGGGTTTCTTAATCCCTTTTGTGCCACAGACCCCTCTGGCAGTTTAGAGATCTTGTGAACTCCTTAGTAGATGTCTTTAATGAAATACATAGGCTTAAGAGGGAAACTAACTATATTAAAATACAGGTGTTCAGATATTTACAAAACTAATTTTAGGATGTAGTAGTATCTGTGAATCTTTATCGACAGATAACAAGATCTAGCAACAGAGCTAAAAATTACCCCAACTTTGTAGTAGTTTGAAACTATTGAAGCAGTCTGAAAACTGTCCTAATCAAGTGATAAGCTTGAATTATTTCAAGATATCTTTAATAACTCTAATAAATGTGATATGCAAATATCTGTGCTTTCTATTGGTGACAAAAGCACAGGTACTGCTAAAACTACTCAGATCTGTTGTCCATTCATAAATAAAACGCTATGTTTCATTCTAGGTGTTAGTGGAAACAAAGATCTAATTATTTTTCTATCTCAGTTTATGTATCCTCTGAGTTCTATCCAGAGATACACCCTCCTATACCCACTCTCCCCACATTATGAACTGTGCTCTAGTGATATGGAGAGATTTTGAGCATTTGAATCTTTTCATCTTCCCTAACTGGACTGTGTAAGTAACCTGTAGGGGGCTCCTTTTGCCTTCTACTGAAAATTTACGTTTTGACAATGCTGGTAACTGTTCTGAATTATTGTCTGAAGTCTTTAAAGTGTATGTCAAGGTAAATAGATTTTAAAAATTACAAGTATATATTATGTGAAGACGCATGAAAACCTTCAGTATGCAGTATCTCTTTTTCTAAAGTCAGACATGCTATAAAATAGTGTCATGATGAAATACTCAAGTCATTTATTTGTCCCTTGAACTTAGAAAACTGCATAGTGGTATACAACTCTCAGACTAAGAAGAAAAAAACTTCTGTTAATCCTCTACTATTTTATGCAGTAAAATTGAAGAATTAGCTAGACCCTGCCCTGAAGCCTTGCTCACCATTTTTGCAACATATTTCCAGGATAAATGACGGCAGTATGTTTATTTAAAAAGTAGAGTTATTAAAATAAAACAAAATCCCGTTTTAGCATTTACTATACGCTGTGAAACCAATATCGCATTTAATCTGTTCTTGAGGTTCCGTGCCATAAATGCTGACTCTACTACTGTTAGGTATTTCACTTATGATCTTGCTTTCATTTGTATCATTAGTGACATTACTGCCTGGCTTGTATAAAATATATGCAATATATGCTAAGAACAAAAGTACTATTTAATACATATCATTCTATTAGATTCCCTCACAAAAAGCCATACTTTCTTCAATGCAAAATATGAATAGCTATAAGGAAATAATGTCTGTTTGAATTTTAGATGACTAATTTCTTAAAGTAGAAATGGCTTAAAGTTAGCAATTATATTTTAAATAATAAACATACATCTTTATATTCTAAAAAGAGAAGTCAATCCAAGTAGAATTTTAAAAATAAGATCATTCCCATATTTCTTCTAAAATATTTGGCAGCAAAAGTGGCCTTTTTTTAATGAAAAATATATATCTAACATAATCACTCATCATTTACAATACTATTTGATTTAAATGTTGAAAGACAAAAGTTAGGGTCACTGGTAAGTTTTGAAAATTACTTGAAAATTTCAAACAGCTTATGCAAACACTGTAGTTGATCTTTTCACTTCTTATTTCTCACCAAGGCATTGTTTAGTTGCTGATAAACTAAAACTACAACATTATATATAAAACAGCATTATATAAAACACAGGGAGATGATGTATGAATTGTACCATGGAAGTCAAATAAGCGTCCGGAATTTGAGATGAAAAAGTAAAGATACTAAAAGGAAACAATAGCATATCATCTTTGTAAAAACTGTGTTAAGTGCATTGGTCTGCCCCTCACCCCTTCCTTGGAGGTAAAAAAAATCAACAGCCAATTGAAACGATGAAACTAATACACTCCAGTAATTTATACGCACAATTTCATGAGTTTCCTCAAGGTTATATAGGTTAAGTAACTCTGTTATTCTTTTAAGATATGTTGTCAGGACTGAGGGCAAAGATTACAGTGGCTTTATTTCTCTGCTTTCATAAAACGTTACATAAGAAGAAAATAATCAGTATTTAATGTCCATAAATAAATATTTTCAGAATTTCACAAACCATTTTCTGAAATTTAATTTTATGTTTATGAAAGAAACTGCATACTTTAGCTAATACTCCATTAAATTTCTTTCTTATCATAAGGTCCAAACCTTAACCAACTCACTCAGGAAGAAAAAGAGTATAAGAATCATCTATTAAACCATCTGTGCAAGAGAAGTGTGGAAGGGGCAAATAGAGGATGAAATTGTTACAGGAACAAATGTCCAAGTGGATCAACTACTTAATGAACCAAAATACCCAGTTTCAATACTGTCAATAATGAACCAAAATAAAAGTAAACGAAATGCTCCTTAGTTTTTCCTTTAAGTATGTACATTCAACATTTTTGTGTGTTACGAATTCTAGTATATAAAACTTTGTTAACCTAAGTTCAGAAAGAGCAAGAGAAAATTCAGGAAATGCATCTATGCACTTTTTGTTTTAGCTTTATCTTATCCTACTACATCAGAAGTTCATTTTTGTTATATTTTAGTCACTTAAATGTGTAATAAAATTTTCAGCCAATAAAAACAAAGGTCAGAATGTTAACACAAGAAAATTCGTGCAATTCTTACTACCTTCATAAAATGAGAAGCACGGTTGAGGATGCAAACTTTAGGCATATGTCTGTCCAGGAAGACTGTGAACTCATCAAGGGCAAGAACCATGGTTCCATTAGTTTTTTTATTATCCCAAATAGTACTTCACACACTGTAGGTGTCAAAAAAAAAAAAATGTGCTGATTGAATTAAATTTATACAAAGCATTGAAGACGTAGAACTTCAATTAAAAAGATGTTATTTACACTGAAAAGAATTGAGTTACAGAAGCTCCAACTAATTATTAGAATTAATGAGGAAAACATTTAGAGAAGGAAAAAATAAGGAAGTGAAATTCAAACTTGATTCAAAAATGAGTTTTGTCTCTCATTTTAAAAATGTAAGTTATTAGGCAAGGGACACTAAAATTTCAATTATGAAAGCAGAAGAAAATGAACATGGATACCACTGATTGGGGAAATTTTTGAAAAAAAAAATCTCACATTTTAGTTCTAAGTTTTAGTTCACAAATTCCTACTGACCAGATATATGGGTGTATTAAAAGAAGTCATTCTCTTCTAAAACATGAAGGATATTTAACAGCTGCCTAAACAATCCTTTGACAAAAGCTCCTGCATGTAAGCATAGTTCTCAGGGCCAAAGTGGAACAAGTTTGTCTTGGGAACAAAACGAAAAAGAGAGAACACAAAAGTAATAAAGAACAGAGTTATTATGAAGTCAAAGAATGTTTGTTTAGGACATCACTCATCTCCATCATCTGCTTGATTTAAAATTTTATTACAGAAGATGTCTAACTGCTGTAAATATTTTCCCACTAGAAACAGACACTTACTGGATTTAAGTACTTTTTCTGAAATTTAATTTTAAAAATTCATTTATTCTTGCCCTTCAGCCTTTAGGGCTTCCAAGCATATCCCTAAAGGTTGTAGGAACCACAAGGAAGATTCTAAGTGAGTACAAAGAGCAGATCGTGCTCTGATCCAAGCCATGGAAGCCATCTTCATTTCAATTAATTTACTTTGCCTTTATGAACTTAAGAGTCTTTCAAGGAGGTTGACATTTCACTCATCTGAAAAAGCCTGGAATGTGACAGGGGAAAGGGAGGAGAAGTAAATCAAAGGGGTTAGCAATTTTCCAGATGCAATGTATTTTTCTTCTCTTCTTTTCCACCAGAAATTTTAGAGAGCCTTCTGACATTTTAATTCCCTGTGCAAAACCACAGTAGCAAAAAATGCTTACAGCTTCTATGTCAAAAAACAAACACACACACGTGCACTTGCACATACTCATGAAATAAATACAGATTCCAACTGCTGCTCCTTTAACTGCAAATATTTCTTTGAGTGTATTTATTAGATGTTTGTGTGTACAGTTTAATTGACAATTTTAGTTTAAAAGCAACAGCGGGTTTTGTAACTTTCTTTTTCTCTTGTGTGTGATAATTAATTGCTGAGTCCGTGCTGGCTTTTTCATTAAAAAGATGGCATTTATACAAACTGTTCTTGTGACTGTATTTTAAATCACACCAGGATATTTCAGTTATCACCTTTAGCCACATGGTTTCAGGAAACGATGCCCGAATATTTCATGCAAATGCTGGTCATTTCCGAAGAGTCCTTTTTTCACGGAGTGGAAATTCACCAAAACGTGTAGAGGTAAAAAAATCTTCAAGGCCTGTAGATAAATTCTCAGCAACAGAGGATGTGCCCATTGTGTCTTGGAGCCAGAGAGGGAGAAACGCCAGTTAACTCCCCCAAACACCCTGCTTCAATATTTACCTGACAGCTTTGGTATCTTGACATTTTCCCCAGTGCATTTCCTCCTTTTTCAGGTATTATTTTACAAGGGATTTCTTGTTATACAGAACTAACATAAATCAATCTATAACAGAGGAATTTGTTTAATACATTTATTCTTTTCAGAAGCTGCATGATCATATTTCATTGACTCGTACAATAGAAAAAAAATCTTACTACTAAAACAGAGTTTGTGGAGACGGGTGCATGGTAAACCTATTTAGTCTTTTCAGAGGTTCATTCTTAGATTTTAATGTTAAATAATAACAACTATTCATTTAAGCTGGTCTCACTGTATATCTTGACCTTTAGCAATTCCACACACAGCAGCTTATTGTGGTATCCTTTAAATATGAGAAATAAGAATGTTTTACTTTGCCATTAAGAGAAAAAGAAAAGAGTACTGTATGTTACATGGCCCATGAAATATTGGCAGTGTGCTCCTTGGCTTTCATTCGAAGAACTGCGATACTGGAGGACCTCCTTTCAAACTCTGGCTTTGTTTCAAATGCATGTCCATTGGTAGCCCCGGTAAGAAGAGAGTCAGTGAAAAAATTGTTGAGGGGCACATGGCTGAACTGGTTCTGGTGGTTTGAAAACCCTGTGTAACTGGAATCTGTCCGAGGCGAGTGAGAGTAAGGTGTCATACAGGAGGAAGTGTCACGTGGCAACATGCATGAAGTGACCACAGAACCACCACTTGCATTTCCTGCCCACAGATTGTTCTGAATCTGGAATATATAAAACAACAAATATTACATTTACACGTTCTCACTTTTGTTCCCTTACTTTTGTGAAACTGTATTTACGAAGTTTTGTTAGTTGTTCATTTTTTTGTTAGTTGTTCAGTTGTTTGCTCCTGTTGGGTGGTCTGTAATTTCATTCTGAGTACATCAAGCAATTACTGAAAAATAGTTATTTGAAAGATTCTTCTAGTTTGTTATACTGGAATGGATCACCAAAACCCACATATTTGACCACATAAAATACTCTCAAAACATGTCAATCTCGAGTATTCTTTTTATAGTCATGATTTTTAAAATGAAATCTGGAAGATTTAGTCATGATTCCCGACCAATTCATGTGCTTAGAAAAGTGGTTAAGAATATGGTTTTAAGTTTAAATATAGTTTTCATCTTTCTAAACAAAATTACACAATTGCGTTTGTTTTTTTAAATTCCACATCTGGACTCTTGATGTGGTAGTTTGTGCTGGAAACCAATGCTGATACGAGGCTGTTTGTTCTTCAGAGATATTTTTGATCAAACTCATTTTGGAAAATGTTCACTGTTTCATTGTTTTTCATATCCTATAGTCTTGAATACATAGCTCTGTGAAAAGGACAATTATACACATATTTTAAACATTTATTCTATGATTTATATATGATATAGTGAGGTTGCAGCAGAAGTATGACATGTAGAACAGATTTAGAATTCTAAAACTTGACTATTACCCAATAATGAAAGCACAATTGAGAAAAATATGCAAGTATTAGCAAAAATATCATATGAATATAAATAAAGTACTAGATAACATCTTATATAAGATTGAAAACTGGGTTATCATTTGTGCCCAAGAAATTCACAACTCATCTCATTAAATCTCTACAGGAAACATTTCAGTGCAATATTATCAGCAAATACAAATTTCTCTAAAGTTACTAGCATGTAAAAGAAACATTAAGTAGAATTTGTATACTATGAATTTTAAATAGGAGGTATATTAAACTAGCTATTTAAAGAAGGGCAAAAAAAAAGTGATCACATGCATGACTGAGAAGCACAGAGAAAATCCTGATAAACGGCAGGAGCTGGGAAAAAAGGAAAATGTTGCTTGGTATAGCATGGCAGAGAGATGCAGCCTTAGAAAACGAAATTTAAAAATTATGCCTTATACAGTATTATTACAATAGATTTAGACTAGAACACAACAACAATATATATGTTTATCCCATATGACTTTCTTTTCTCTTAAAATCATAATTAGAATAGAATCATCAATTATTTCCACACGTATACAAGAACTGTTTTCTCGTATTTATTTTTACATAGAAATTTCAGTCTGCTACATATAGCCTCTGCTATAGTCTTACAACACCCAAGCTGAAGCCATATTTTTTAAGACAACTTATTTTCAATTAATAGCCAAAAATATGTTGATGAAACTTCTAGATTACACTGTAGAGATGTTACTCTGTCACTTAGAAAGGATCACAACCAGTTCTAAACTGAACAACAAATATCCCTTAGGTGGTGCTTCAGTGGTTGGCAAGATGCTCATTTTAGTATTGTTTAATAGTTCTTTATATAAATATTTTCTAAGCTGCTTTAAATATGTCAAATCTGTGAGAGATACCTATAGACATCTAGCTAGCTATCTAGCTAGCTGTCCATCACGATTTGCATACATTATCAATCCTTAAATCGTCAAGGGCTATGCTGTTTTAATTTTGGCTCATTCTAGTATATGTCTCCCACTTTAGCCAAAGTATGAAGATTGGTGCCAGTGACTGCTGAGTTATGTATCTCAAACCAACAGGAGGGGCTGTTAATGTCATTAGTCTGTCAAACTAGCTCTTCTAACTTGATCTGGGTGATTTTCCTCTGACATTCAATCAAACATTGTGCTACACTGCAAAAACCACAGTCATATGTCTGACAAAAGGGCTTTCAGGAAATGAAAGTGAACTTGCTTGCTTACTTTTGAAAAAATAAATGCAAGGCAAGATAGTGGTGGAGAAAGATTATTTACATTTTATGTTTGTTAAAGGATCCCTCAACTTATACACAGTGTTGCTAGAATTTATTATTAAAATCATCTACTTGTATTCCAAATGCATAGAAATATATTTAACAACTCAGTCAAAAAGAAAAAATAAGGAGAGTAAAAGCAAGGAAGGAAATCTATGAATTTAAATTTAAAATATTTTTCCCCTGAAAGGATTAACAGTAATCTATGTATAAAATGAAAAGAAATTCTCCACTTTCCACGACATGAGCAAATATTGTTATTTTGATCAAAACTTCTTACCTGAACATGATCAAGCAAGTTAAATGAGTTACTTTTCATGAAATACAACATATAGAAATGTCTTCTGAACAGAACAGATTAATAAAGCAATTTACAAACAGCAATACTTTAGTTGGACTTGAGGGGATACCCAAATATTCTCATGGGTAGTGATGCTGTCACATGCTTTTACTGCTATGCCCTGTTTCCATGATCTCTATCACCCCTCTCTTCCCAGCCTTTCTTTGATTTTCAAATTTCTGGCATGTTTTCATTAGACTTTGGGGATCTAGTTGGTTTCTATATTAAAGTTAGATGCAAATCATAAAAAATAATATCCCCAGTGAACTGAGGTTTTGCTTCCTCTGAAGCATTCCCTCTGGATGTTTAAAACATCTGATGATGACGATCAAGATCACGCTCATGATAGCTAACAGTTATCAATTAATTACCATTTGTCAAGCATTATGTTAAAAGCATGATGAAGACTTCTAATCGTTTTGACATCGGAAAAGGTATGTGCTTTTACTATCCCCATTTCGTAAAAGGTACAACTATAGAACAAAGAGTTTAAGAATCTCACCCAAGATGGCATAACTGCAATGGTAGAGGTCAAATCTGAACCCAAGAAATCTTATAAATGCTACAATGACATAAAAACTAGTCTTATGAGTTGAAATTGTTATTTACTTATTAATAACCCTAAGTTTTGGGTTGTTCATAGACTCCACTTTCTGAAAGCAAAATTCCCAATGATCGCTCACAACCGTTTTCTCATCCCCAGGCCTAACACAGCATATGAAAAACCCTTTATATACATTTATTAAATAATGGAAAAATCTCTAAGAATATGAAATTTGGACTGATCCATCTTGCAGATGTAATCAAAGCTTTATGGACAATTTATGCTAATATATCTAAATTTTTTTTCCTGATTTGAATGCTAGAATCACCATACTACACAATCTTAACAGAAATCATGAAAATTACAAAGCTGGACCCTGTTGACTATATTTCCCTAGGCAGTTTTTTGGTTTTTTTTTTTTCTGTTAAACACTTACTATCCACCACAGATGCATCTTCCTGGAGATTCTGATTCATTAAGCAGGGGGTGTGGCCGAGGGGATTTGTACTAAAATAATGGCAATAGTAATACACACAAGCAATTCCTAAAATCACCTAGGATCAGGAAACGCTATTGAAGTCCAGCTTCTTTCCAAATGCAAAAAACCCTTGTACATTTTCAATTATGTTCGATTCCTGTGATAAGAAGCTCACCCTGTTTAAAAAACATTCCATTCCCTTTTGGAGAGCTCTGTAAAAAAGTGACTGTTATCTTTCTCTATCTATCTCTTCTATGTCTGTCCCTTAAAATGATACAGAATAAGTAGCATCCTTCTTACATGGGAAAACCTTCAAATATCATCAGGTGACTATTATACAATCACAAGTCTCTTTCCTCTAAGGATTCCTCATATGACATGATTTCCAGACGGTATCATTCCAGTCACGTTCCTCTGGATATGCTAGAGGTTGTCAACACCCTTCACCCTTATTAACATCCAGCACTGACAACAGAATATAATCTAGATGTCGTCTGATCACTGTAGGGATAACCCAGCAGGTATCATCTTTGTTCTAGATCATCTACTTCTGTTAATATTTGAAGGCGATATTTGATTGAACAACAAAGTCGTTTGAGCTTGTGGTTTAATAAATCTACTGCTGTCCAAGTGGGCTCATTCTATGCCTCCTCCATCCCTCCACCAATCCTATTCTTGTAAGTGATCATTTTAAAATGATGCGCTAGAATCGACACATATTGTCTAAAACTGCGTATATATTTGTCAACAGAGAAGTCATACAAAAATCTTACTCTGTGACTTATTAAAAATACTGTATTTGCTGTTAAATTTTGGAATGAAAGAATGCACTTTTTTCTAAATAAGATCACTACTTTTCTTTTTCTTTAGACTAGTTTTAGACTAGTTCACTGACACCAAATAATTTTTTTGTAGGCTTCTAACTGTATAATATTCAAGGGCTTTACAACCAGGAACAGCATTACTGAATCATGTCCACGTCCTTTTTTCACGTGTGCTTAAAAAAAAAAAGAAAAATGAGAAAAAAAGACTGCTTGCCTTTCCATTTTTTCTTCTTTGTGTTTAAAAGGAGTGGATAATCTAAAAATATTCAATGTTTTAATGCGGTTCACAGCATTTTTTAAAGTTCTGATGGTATGTTCAAAGCACTGTCCCGGGAACTTAGCCAACTACCTCCCATTAGCATGAATGGAAGTTCAGCTGACTTAGAACTCTCCACTTTGAACATTTGCCCCTTAATGTTTTTCTAATCACGTAAAAACTTAATTATTCCATAACTTTGAATTTTGGAGGAAAGTTGATTTTTTTGTCTCTTTCCAAACAAATCAAATTCATTTAACATTCACTTTCCTTTCAAGGAATTAAAAGCAATGGCTAGGGAGGAGAGGGGTGATATATAAGTATACACATATATATTAAGAGTTCTTCACTGTGGATCTATATATGTCATGAACTGAATAGGGTAAATCATGAATAGGAAATTATCTCATTTACCTTCATCATGGAAACTTGATACAGACATATTCTTTATATAACCAAAACTGTAAAGAAAATTTTAGTATGCTAAATTTGGTGTATATTTCTAATATATTTGCTGATTTTATTGTAGTGGGGAA